GAGAGTGGATAAACGCTACAGTGCTGTGAGGTTATTTTGATTCCTCTGACCGTTCTTCTACAATATAATGATATGAATACAATATATTGGTATGAATACTGGTCATCACACACACAGAGAAAGACACACAGACACACAAAATTAAAAGATCTTTCTTCTTTTTCTTTCTTACCGCAACACGTAGCCAAACACATACTAAAGTGCATGCATGTGTAGGTTGAATCATAAGTGTGTGTGTGTGTGTGTGTGTGTGTGTGTAGGAAGACCAACTATGCAAATCTCTATATCTCTCTGCAGAACAGCACAGCGGGGTCTACTGACCTGTTTAGAGGAAGTGTGCTCACTCTACAGCCAACCTGCTTTGCATCAGTTACATTTACAGTTGACTGTATTTCACAGCAGAGCAGTCTGAGCACAGTAGCTAGATTAGCATGTTATTTGACAGAACAGCTTGACTCTGTTCCCCAAAGTTGTCAGCAAACAGCCACTTCAAGATAAATGACCCAAACCAAAGACCAAAGCTACTATTAAAGTTTTATTCTTATATTTTTGCAGTCAGTTTTGAAATCAAGCTCAAAACATTTTGAATTGTCCAGCCAACCCATCTGGAGACATCATGGAGGGACAGTGGAGAATGAAGGAGAGAGGTACAGATAGCAGAGGAGAGTATTTTTGCAGTAAGTCTACAGTAGGATATATTCTTAGAGTATTAAAAATCTATACAGGTGTTTTTGAGGTGATATGCAAAGGGGAACTTGATCTCCGTGAGATGACCTGATCAATTAAAGGTTATTAATAATACACAGCAATGACCTGATGGCTAATCCTCACTCTGACAAAAACGATTTTTTCAGTTACTAGAGGAAAACACTGTATTAGGACCCAGATCATTCAATTTAAGTTGCATCACTGCTGAACTACTGCATCTCAGTCTGGAGATTTCAAAGTAACTTTCTAGAGAATAGATCAAATTTTATTACCCAAATTACCATAAATACAAAACAACTAGTCTACAAAACAGACACCATAAATAAACTAAAATAAAATAACATTTATTGTTTATTTTCTGTATGAGTAATAAACTGAAGCATTGTGCCAGGTGATACTCGGACCTGTTGGTGATTCTACAGGAGATTGAATGTTAGAATAATCTGTATGACTTTACATTTGAAATAAAAAATAAACATAATTTTCTATGGTATTAATCAGATAAAACAGTAACCATTTCTCTATTTACAATGACCAACACCACTGCAAAACTGCACTGACTGCAAAGACAGTGCAATGGTGACCGTTACGCTGCTGTACCATGACACTACCGCTGCTCAATGTTTATGTCTTGGTTATCACCATGCTACACCACAGTGGTGCACTGAGCCTGTCCATCGCCATCACAGTATCACGGTACGCTATGACTGGCTAACAGCTGACATCAAATCACAAAAACATTCAGATATTCTCAGCTACTGTTAGTAAAGCGCTAAAGATGTCCAATATGGCCGACAGAGGCTGTGCTAAATGACTGTTGTTTAGTACCACAGTACACCAAGATGCACCATGATTAACCTTATGTAATCTGTTTCTCCCACAATGTCAACTCCTTCAACCCAAAGCATGATGGAGGTTTTAGGTTTCTGTCTTGGCAAATAAAATCACAGGGTTGAGGTTGAGGAAAGAAGAAAAAAGCGCGACTACTGAAAAGGTTTGCTGCCTGAACGTGTCAAAGCTAACGTGAAATGTGAGAGGAGACGCGAGTCGAGCGCTTTGCATGTCCATTCATCCACCCTGACCCCCACAGTCTCGAATGCCACAGTAAATCAAATGAGTTGCACATGAACGTAATATGTAGGAAACAGGTTTTGACAAACAACTTTCTCACGACCCGGGTGAGGGGCGGAGATGGATCCTCCTGAAAGTGCCAGATGAACCTTTCATTTCTATTAAATGAGAAGTTCTGGCAGGTTGGTTTGGCACTGCACCAACTCTCCTTACCGTGGCTGTTTCTTTTTCATGTCTCTTAACTGCTCTTCTGTGGATACATCTGTGCTGGTCAGTGACTGACACTCAACAACAGCAGCAGAGCAGGTGAGAGCGGAGTTATTCATAGTCAGAAACAGTCAGTAGAAAAGAGAGAAACAGTCCACTTTTAATGACTGTAACTCTTTAGGTGAGCTATGATTGTAACAACTTACTTAACTTTTCCATACATGATTGTTTGAGGTGTGAGTAGCTTTGTGGAAAGTACCAGAGAATCCTGAGAATACTGCTCACCTACATGACAGGTCACAAGTTCAGTTTATCATCCTTGCTCCACTTAATGGCACAGACAAACTAACACCACAATTCAGATTGGCGATTCAATTTATTTCTTATACTTGACCCTCCTCACTCTAACTGGTAGTGTTCCGCATTAGTTTAGTGTATGTGGAGACTACTCTACTGTTTCTCAGCCTGCTTGTAGCGGACAGAGTGAAAAAAAATGTCCAATATCGACACAGAGTTACTTCTCTGACATGTATTTAAAAAGGAAAATATTAAATATATCGTGCTCTTGAACATATAGTATAATACAAAAGTATAACGTAATCAAATTCACATGGCGACTTCATAATTCTGTCACTGCTGTCGTCTTGACTATTTGCGGCCCTAAAAGCAGGAACCCTGTTATAATCACAACCACACTGACAGGATGACACATTCTGAATTTTTGTTTGACGCATTTTTCTGGCAACAACTTTGTAAAATACAAGTTAAGCTGTTGTTTTTGTCTGCAGTGCTGTTAGGGGAGGCACCACTATTCTCTTGCTGAGTCTTTTTCTTGCAGACAATCTACATCTTCCTTACGGAGTAACAATATAAAAAGAAACGGAATTCAGTCTCGAGTATTTTGTAGAGATCCGATGTCAAACTATCAGATCCTGTGGATTTCTTTGCTGTTTAAAAATCGGATGACATATTGCTCTCTATATCTTGCTATGATGAAAACAGATGTCAGTAAGGTCTGTGAATTTCCCAGAGTGACAGAGACACTGGCTCTGGAAAGGCAAGTTTCTCTGGAGTTTTCAAACGCACTTTTTCTATGTTTGGAAAACTACAAACAAAATGCCACTTCTACTTTCTCTGTGTTGGAGTGGGAGCAGAAGTTTCAGAAGCAGATACCTCAAAACCTCAGCAGTTAAAACCAAAATTATCTGCATAATTAGATACCACTAATGGTAAGTAGGACAATATGTTCCTTTATGATGTGGGTGAACTGATCCTTTGAACACAGAGCAATATATAAAGACGAGAGTGAGTCCTGTTCCATAACTTGTCCCTGTTATGTAAAATTACGTCCTTCATATTTAATATTCACTTTTTACCACCTTACGCTTCATCTTGAACTGTGCAAATGATGTTGTTGCTCAGCAATGGGGGGGGAAATTCTATGATGGTAGATGGCAACAAAAAAATTAGAATCAAATATTTTTCATATTTATATGTTGTATATTCTATATGTATATGATGCATATTTTTATATTAATGAAATATTTCAAATAGTATATATTAGACCAAACATTTGAATGCTTTCGTTGGATTGAATAAAAAAGAGCATCTTTCATGCAGCGAAATTCAGCTACAGCCGCCAAGATCTTCTGGAGATGAACAGATTTGCTGAAATGTCACCAACAAGAAAATAAAAATATACTGGACCCTGTTTCCATCCAGGTCGTTGCTGCTGATGTCAGAGTCCTCACTCTTGCTTGTAAGAGTATGTGGTGTTTGTATGTCTGTTCTATGTTGCGCTGGAGTCCATGAGGAACAACAGTTCACTTCCCTGTATGCATGCCAAGCATTTGTGTGGAAATAACAATTAACTTAAGTTTGAAGCTGAACCTAACCCTGAATAAAATATTTCTTTTGAATTCTACATAAAAGCAATAACACAACCAAGGTTTTTGCTGTATTACGTATCTTGGCGCCAACATGCAGACAAACAGTCATATTGTTTAACTAAACATGAGGCCGGTGTCTATTCATGTGTAGAGAAAATAAGATATACTATATAAACCTCAGACCTCAGCGACCTTGTTATGAAGCCAGTTCTCAGTCAAAGACACAGCAGCTCAAAGTCTGACTTTTCACTTATGTTGAAATCTATTCTTCAAGAGAGACTTTAACAAACTAAAATCACAAAAGAGGAAACATCAACCAGAATACAAATAAAATCACAGACAAGGAGCAGGGAGACAGTGTGGAAGGGTGGTCACCCAGTCAAGGTCATGAGTCAGGTTAGATCAAATCTGAAGAGAGCTCAGTGTATTTGACGCCACACTGAAGCTGAATCACCATACGGACATCACTGTCATTCAAGGCTTTGTTTCGTTTAGAGCTTCAGGTCTTAACTGAAAATACCAAATCATCTCCCGTGGATCTACAACACAGCATCCGCAGCAGCGTTCAGTCCGTCCTCTCTTTCAGTTGGAGTAATATTCTCGAAAAAGTTATCTGCTACTGAGAAGAATACTTTCACTTTTTGTAAAAACCACTTCCTCCAGTAGGGCTGGAACCTGCACTGAGGTTGTGATTGCAAAGAACCACTGAAATAAAATCAATCAAATCCGTAGTTCCATCTAAACTCAAGAAATTCCCAAGGAGCACACCAGCACATATTCAGCCCTGAGAAACCAAATATCCAATCATACGCTATTGTATGTTAAACTTTGAACTGACACAAGTGAGCAACTTGTACAGAAGGCAAGAGTAAGACACGCTTGACTGAAGATGAAAGGACCTACAGCCACTGCGGCAAACATCTGCCTCATACTAATGAATTTAATCTGGTGAACAGCTTTAAATTTGTATTTGATTGTAAAATGTTCAAGAAAAATACAGTTTTTAGATTTGTTACAAGCTCAATGACTTTCTGATCTAAAGTGACACATAGATCAGTGATCAGTGACATTCAGCAGCAGTACGAGAGCAGACTGAGAGTAAAAGCAGCAGCTGATCGCTCTCACCTTGTAGACTTCTCCATAAGTTCCTCCTCCGACTCTCAGCAGGATCTCAAAATCATCCTGAGGGTTCCTGGTGGAGATATCCAGAGCTGCCCTGTGTTGGAAGTCCATTTTGGTGTTTAGATTACTATTCCTCCTCAGGCATGTCACACACACATACTCACTCTCTCTCTCTCTCTCTCTCTCTCTCACACACACACATACACACACACACACAAACAAACACACACACGCACTCACACACTCGGAAACATTTACATCTACAGGCAACAAAACTAAAGAACTCTCATAGACATGAGCTGCTGAGAAAAGACCTCGCTCTCTCTTTGTCTGTCTGACTTGCGTGTAGTTCAGCTGCTGTCTCTCACACACACACACACCACACACACACGCCTTCCTGTTTCTGTTTCTCAGTCTGCTATCGATCCTCCCTCCCTCTATCTCTCACACCTTCCTCTCTTCTCTCGCGGACATTTTTTTTCTCAGCTCATTTGCATAAATCCAGTTTCTAGTTGGGTGTGTGTCTGTGTGAAATAGACAATGACAAGCATGAATGTATTACAGATGTAGTGTTTTTGTTGTGTGTGTCCTTGTGTTTCTGCGCTTGTGAAGATCAACGTACAAAAACAATTTACAGGTCTTTTAAAATGAGGAAATTGTGCCACTTTTCTAGAGCTAATGGGGCATAGAGTTAAGTTTAGGATTGAAGATTAAGATCTTCACAGCAGCAACACAAAGACTTCTGTGTGTGTGTGTGTGTGTGTGTGTTTGGGAACGTATGGGTGCCTGTGTATGCATAGCTTGTAGCTGATTAATTGCAGTTGTACTGTTTGGGGTTTTCAGCGTAAGTTTCAGTCTCAGCTTCACGCCTACTGAAATGTGTGAGTGTGTTGGCGTGTGTGTGTGCGTGCGCGCGTGTGCGTGTGTGAGTGTGTGTTGCAGCTCTGCAAGAAGAGTCACCCGTGCTTGGAGCTCCCTGTAAGCTTCCTGTTCAGAAGCATTTCCCCACAGATAAATAAGGGGCACCCGTTACATCCTGTTAACAAGTCAAAATGACTTTATCAGCTGTGTATCTGGTCTGGAAATGATCCTATTTATTGAACTTAAATCGTTTTGACTTACATGAGTAATCTGTTGACATTTAGCTAATAACTTGAGACCTGGCTTTTTTAACAGACATGATTCCAGCTTTGTGGAAAAGCGCCTCATTAGTACTCTTGTCTCTGATCTCAACAACTACTGTCCAATATCTAAACTTCCTTTCTTAGCAAAGCCCTTTATTGGCCCACTAAACATATACAGCCACAGCAGGCTGGTTTTCACCTGGGTCACAGCACAATAACAGCTGCAGGTTCACTCATTGATAACCTTGTCTCCTCTACCTTGATAACAAAAAAATACATTTTATGCTGCCCTCTTCATTGACCTCTCAAGGACATTTGATAACAATGGGCCTCATTCACCAACCACTCTTAAGAAGAAATTTCCTCTTAAAACCCATTTATGCACTTTTTATAAAGATTCTGACATCGATCAATGTTTTCTTATTGGGATTTGTTCTCTGTAAGAACTGAATCTGCACACACTTCAAGAGTTCTCTTACAAACATTTGAGTGCTGACATGTTTGAGCAAAATAAGTGCTTATTGCATTTTCTTCTGTTCTACAGTTATATAATATTATGTTATTTAAATTAATACAATATTTTTCACATTTATAACATTAAAAAAAAAAACTTTTGTTATTTTACAAAGCATTATGGTCTTTTAAAATAAATGAACGCTACATTAATACTTAACTGCTTTTTTGCGGCTCACCTCCTCAGCAGTGCCTCCACTTCAGAACTACTAAAGTTCCTTTTGCATTTTGATTCTGGTGCTCTGTCTTTAGATTTTTTCAACTTTCCCTTACGCTATCTCTTTGTGACTTCTGTCTGTGTCTTCACACGACCCTTCAGTCTCATGCCCTTATATGGACATTTGTGTGTGCCAGTTGGCCCAATTAGGGCCAACTGGCACACACAAATGTCACACACAAATGTCCACACACTTTCAATTGAGAGATTGGCATTCATCGATCTAAGAACACAGGTGTGCACAATTCTTTAAGAAGTTTTCTTAAGGGCTTTCTTAAAAACAACTTAAGAAAGAATTTAAGAAAATACTTAAGAAGATATTGGTGAATGAGGCCCATTGATCATAAAATCCTGCTCCACAAACTACAGTCTAGATGAAGCCACGCTGAAGTGTTTTCAGTCTTACCTCACAGGCAGAACTCAGACTGTTGCTGCTCATGGTTCTCAGTCAGTGGGATGCCGCAGGGGTCGATCCTTGGTCCGTCCCTGTTTACAATATACATAAAGAACACAATTGTTCCTGATCAATACTAGGCACAATTTAAGAGGAACAAACTGCAACCTGCCTTCAAACTAGAGTCTTACATTTCCCCTGGAGATTGTACAACTTTATTATCTGATGTTTTTTTATGATTCTTGTGACTGTTTTTTGAATTCTTTGTTTCTCCGTTGCTTGTATTGTGTTATTGTGCAGTTTTTGTTTTGAAAATTGTGTTCTGGGATTGTTTTTTTGTTCTCAGGTCTCTCTTGAAAATGAGATCTGAATAATAATAAGACTGTCTGATTAAATAAAGACTAAATAAAAAAATGAAATGTGTATGGACTGAATACTGTGGTTACATGCTGGCATCCTTCATCTGTAGCATCTTACAGCAATGCAGCAGGTTCATTCACTAGCCTGATTTTAAAAGACTAAAACAGTTAATTCAAGCATCTGAGTGAGAAGGAGCATGGACAAAGTTAGTATGCATCAGCAGAGCACCTCACACAAACACATTTAAAGAGAGACATACAAAGAGTGAAAGGCCGGCCCACACAGAAAAGGCAGGAGAAGCAATACTGTTTAAAAACAGGGACAAACAGAAGTTTAAACAATGACTCCCTTCTCACCTCCATACAGCTGACCAGAAGTCAGTTTGAATGTCAGATTGTCATTTTCATAAAGTCACAGAAATGGTCGGACACAGAAATTTCCCCCCAAATCTGATGTGTAAAATGTTCTTCGAGCTACTGGACCAGAGAACGAGCTCTTCTGAAGAAGAACACTGGCAACACACGCTCACAATGACAATGCTTACGTGCTGATGCTAAGCAGGTATAATACTTGCAATTTCCATCATCAAGCATTAGCGTGTTGGCATGCTAACGTTTCCTAAGTAGCACTAAGCTGATGAATGTCGTTCATTTTGCAGGTATATAAAACCTGATAACATCTCTAGATCTACGTTATAGAATCACCCTGAATGAATGTGTGAGCCAGTGTAATGACAAGCACATAGTTGTCAGTGAAAACCATAAATGTGACCCTCAGGGTGGCTTAAAGTCATTAGGATTTATTCTCTGGACACCATGAATAGAAATCCATCCAGACATTGCTGAGATATTTCAGTCTGAACAAACTGTTGGAGGGAACATATTGATTGTATTTTCTCAATGGTTTCCTGTTTGATGCTTTGTTTCTTTACATGGTTGTTTGCTGCACCAAGTTGCTGCTGCAGGATCTTTGAAGTTTCATCTCATCTTGTGAAAGATGAGATGTCTTATTGAGAGACAATAAAACCCAGATGCAAAGCGTACTTGCTGGGTACTATGAATAACCCACTGATCTAAAAAGATCCTCTTTCATTGAGAGACATTATGAAGATCATAAGGAGCAGCAAAATAAAGCAGCTCAGTGAGTTCTTCATTAAAGGCTTAAATATAATAACAAACCAAAATAAAGATAACATTTCTCTTGCCATTATATGACACCACCATTTTCAACATTTGACATTTATCGACCCTCTTCTCTCTGCTCTGCAGACGACCCAGCTGTTAAAGGTTCTCTGCCTACACTCTCATATCTATCACATGGTTCGCAAACCACCCACAAGTGACAGACACATGACAGAGGCCATTTAACCACAAATAACTGCCACAGGAGAAAGGCTGAAGAGATTATTAATAAAGATGCTCAAAAAAACCATCCTCAAACATCTTTAACACCCGAATGAGTGTAGTATGAAGTATGAAACTGAAAGTACGATGGAGTCTGCTGTGTTTCACCTCTCCAGCCTCCCCAGGCACCAGATCTGAATCCAGGAGAACACCTTTGGGATGTGGCAGCATGAATGTGCTGACAAATCTACAGACATGATGTGATGCAGTCACATCAACACGGAGCGCAAACCCCTGCCCAGTGCATGTTGGGATAGCTCCTATGTTGTTTTGTCATAACGTTTTGTGATGCTATGCTCTACCATGTTATGTCCTCTTATTAATGTAATATTAATGGACTGCAACCTTCAGTTACTTTCTTGGTGTACTGATTAATTATCTGATTGATAAAATGTCAGCAGATTGTGAAAAAAAAAAAAAAAACTGACATCTTCAAATTGTTTTGTCCAGAAACATATTTAATTTAAAGTTACAGTGGACTATTCTATGTCACGTCACGCACGTGGTGTCGTGTCATGTTATGTCGTCATGTTTATATTATGTCACCTCATGCTATGTTACATTACATTATGTGATATGACATTTATTATCACGGTCACTCGCTCAATGAGTGACCGCAGCCTCAGCTGCAGGGCGGTGTTACACTCACCTCTATCAGCACGTAGCTTTCTTCTGAAGTGCTCGTGTGCAAGACACTGAACCCTCACAGGCTCCAGCAGGGTTTCTCTGTAGCTGGTCCTGACCTCTGACCTCCCTGGATGGAGTTAGGTGGAAAGAGAAAGTTTGCTGTCGTGACAATATTCTGATTGTGGGCAAAGGTCAGATCCACTCAAAACACAAAATAAAAGGTTATTTGTCATTTCTGTGTTGAAGGGGGAGGCGTTAGGGCGTAAAACAAGCCAACGTGTGTACGGCAAATGAGAAAGCCTGAAGTGTCCCTTTTAAACATGTGCAAAGGTTTCTACTTGTAAAATACACAGCACTTCACCAACTCGTTAGGCCTGACCTGACTCATTAGGACTTGTAAAGCAGGTCAAACATTGTCATTGGGGATATCTGCTTCACCTTTCACCTGGCAGAGGTGCAGTTTTATCTGGTTTTCTGGTTTTCATGATCTTCCGCATCTTGTCTTGACTTCCACAGTTCCCCTTGACGGCCTTTTCATAATGATATTTCCAACAGTGAAAATTTCAAGCTGGAGTCACTTTGATATGTCTTTATAGCCTCCCCTGCTTTGTAGGTATCAATTTGTTTCATTTTCAGATCCTCAATCAGTTGTTCAGAGGAGCATATGGCTGCTGAAAGTTACCACAAGGTTTGAAGAGTCAGTAGAAACAAAAACGTTC